ATATATAATCATAACCTAGATTTTCTTACTTGATTTTTCTTATTTGATTTACATTTATTTTTAAGTTTTTACCTGGAATTTATTTTTACACTTCCATCTAAGTGGATGGTTAGTTTTGCCAGTATTATCCTTTTAAGAAACCATGCTTTTCCCACTGATTAAACCATAACCTTTATGAAGTTCATATGTGACAAAGGTTATGGCTTAATCATCCATGATAATTAAACTAACCTGGGAATATCATTTTATATTTTATAACTTCAGAACTTTTCCATATTCTTTAACCTCTTAGAGTCTCTGTTCCCTTTTCTATAGTATGAATTATCTGGACTAAGCCTGAGTTGGCTGATGTAGAAGAGAAGCAGTAAGTTCTGATTTTTTATTCATTCAACTCATCGAATATTTTTTTGACTGTCTATAATTAGCCATCAATTGGATATGCAATGTGACAAAAAGGGGACGAATATTTGACCCAAGCACTCGGATATGATGAAAAGAGTATGTGATTTTCTACTGTTCTATAAAAAGCTTAGTGGCTTAAAACAGCATCCTTTGTTATTTCCCGATACTCTGAGTTGACGGGCAAAGCTGCACTGTAATTGCAGGGGGCAAAACCAGAAGGGAACGAGACTCTGCCCCTTGATCTGGGGGGCATGGATGTAAAGCGTGGGGGGAAATGGATGGAGACCGACTTTGGAGGCTACCGACCACGGGAGCCCCAGGGAGCAAGCAGGTGTGGAGGGCAGGAGGCAGAAGTGCTCTCGGGCGTTACGTGTGCAGTGCCCATTGAACAGCCAAGTAAATATACACACATGGAAGCCAGAGGAAGTCTGGGATTAAAAATATCAAATTAGGCCCGGCCGGGCGTGGCTCAGTGGTTGAGAGTCGAGCTAGGATCCAGGCAATCAGGGTTCAATTCCCGGTCAGGGCACATGCCCGGGTTGTGGGCTCGATCAATGACTCTCTCATCAGTGAAGTTTCTATCTCTCTCTCCCCCTCTCCTTTCCTCTCTCTGAAATCAATATATATATTTTTTAAAAAATCAAATTAGGAGATGTAATTTAGAATCAAGACACTGGATAGGGTCACCTAGGAAAGTCAGCTGAGCAAGAGAAAGAGCCACCAGGTAGTACAATGGGAAACAGGGGAGTGTGAAGCCAAATAAAAAAGCACTTTGAAAAGATGACCACGTCCCATGGTGCCAAAAGGTCAGAGAAGATGAAGACTGAGAAGTGATCATTCGGTCATTAGTGACCTTAGTGAGAAAAATGGCAGGATGAAACTTGATTATAGTGAATTAAAGAGTGGAAAAGCGAGTAAAGGCAACTTTTTCAAGTTTTCATAGAAATGGGATAGTTCCTGAGTGAGGACTTAAAGTCTAAGAAGAGTTTGGTTTTGTTTGTTTTCTGGGGAATTTTTGTTTTAAGGTGAGAGAAATGAATTATAGGCAGGAGGGGAATGAATGCTATAGAAACAGAGCAATTGCAAATGTCACGTCTACATTAGCTGAAAGGTGACAGAACCGAGACAGGTGAACTGGAAAGACAAGAGGTGTTGGTCAGTGAAATAACGTATGGATTAGAAATTTTAAATGAGAGATTTTTGAGGTGACATGCTTATTTTAATGCCTAGGTCTGGGCTCAGATTACCAGCTGATGGTTGAATGTGAAAAGTCAAGGGGCTAAGAGGCCAAGGTTGTGACGAATGATAAGAGTAGTCTGGAGAGAAACCAGCCAGGGAGTCAGATGCTAAAACCTCGAGGAAGCGCACACCTGAGAAATGACGCCTGCCTGCCCAAAGGCACCTGCGGGCCCTGCATTACCCAGCAGGGCTGAGCTGGAGCTGCGCTTCTCAGCATCCCCCCTGCGTGGCTCCCTGTCAGCGTGGCCTCGAGCGGAACAGTGGAAGGAAGTAAAGCAGCAGCTACGTTGCTTTTATCCTCTGAAGGTGGTGGAGGGCCCCGGGCATCACGGCAGCTTGCACCAGCCCCTGCCCATGAGAAGTTCCCCTGGGTCGGGTGAGCCAGCACCCGGACCTGAGCTTTCCCTGCTTGTCCCTGCAGCTCTCCTGCTTCCGCCTCTCCAAGTCCTGGCCAGAGCCCAGGTCCGCTTTGGGAATGGTACCAGTCTCGTGCGGGTCACCCTCGTGGCACTGAGGTTGCAGCGATGAAGGAAACACCAGTTCCAACTCACCCTCAGGGGTTCCAGTTGTCCCAGCTTCCCTTCCCAGCTGCCTGTCTGGCCAACCCGTAGGGCATTAAGGCTGGACTAAGACGCAGAAGCAACCGGCTGCACTGCCTGCTGGCCCAGCTCCCACAGTCGTGCGAGGGCTCCTTTCCATAAGACAGTCTCCAAGGGCCATCCTTGTTAACACAAATGGCAAGACTTCCTTCTTCTTGTGGCTGAATAATATTCTTGTGTGTGTGTGTATCACATTTTATTTATTCGATGGACACTTACGTTGTTTCCACATTTTGGCTGTTGTGAGTAATGCTGCAATGAACATTAGAGTGCAAATATCTCTTCAAGATAGTGATTTCATGTCTTTTTATAATACCCAGAACGGAGATTGCCAGACCCTATGGTAGTTCTATATTAATTTTTTGAGGCACCTCCAAACAGTTCTCCAGTAACTGCTCCTATTTACATACCCACCGTCAGTGCACCAGAGTTCCCTTTTCTCCACATTCTTGCCAGCATGTTCTCTTTTATTTTTATTTTTATGATAGTCATTCTAACAGCTGTGTGGTGACAACTTCATTGTGGTTTTGATTGGCATTTCCCTGATGATTAATACAGTTGAGCACCTTTTCATGGATTTGTTGGCCATTGTATGCCTTCTTTGGAAAAATGTCTATTCAAGTCCTCTGTCCATTTTTAAATCAGATTATTCTATTTTTTTGCTTTTGAGTTGTTTGGATATTAACCCATCAAATATGTGGTTTGCAAATATTTTCTCCCATTCCATAGACTGCAGCAGGTTTTAGTTAGAGCAAGAAGGTGAAGATCCAGCTCAGAAAGCAGGTTGAAGATACGCAAGATTTTGCTAAGAACAGATTGAGAGCTACAGGGGAAGCGGATATGGAGGGGAGGATGCTCATGGTGGGAATTAAGTCAGTTTAAGAGATTTACAGAGTAATATGGGGATTAGTGTCTGGGTGCGGAGGGAGGCCTGGTGGCTATCAATACAAACCTGGATGTGAAGCATGGTGGTACTCATGGTTTCTGGACTCACGGAGAAGGGGTTCATTCATTCTCTCTCATCATAGCTTCCTTCTCAGGCCTGTATCACTTACCTGATAGCTCTGTGGATCTGAAATGTTGTGAGACTGGGGTACTTAAGCGTCTCTGAAGCACACAAGTCTCTCTGGAGTTCCTTAAATCCCACTGAGAGCTGTGCCAAGACCAGAATGGGGCAAATTTTACAAACATCAAGAAAAAACACACACGTGATTCTCTAGAGCAGTGAATCTCCAACTTTGGTTCCCAGGCAAACAGCAGCAGCATCCCCTTAAAACTTGTTAGACATGCTGATTCTCTGGCCCCACCAGTCTTGTGGCACCAGGAACTCCAGGAGCAGGTCCAGCAATCTGGGTTTTAACAAGGCCACCAGGCAGGTCTCAAGTTCACTAAGATTTAAGACCCACATTAGCTTAAAGATGCAGCTGAATGTTGACCTTCTTATGAACCTAAAAATCACAGAGCACTGAAGATGAAAACACTTTTCCAACTATCTGGTCTCACTTGAAACTTATATGTGAAGGACCCAAGTTACAGGGAAGGAGTGGGACTTGTCCAAACCATCCTTCCCTGATGGAAACAACTCCAAATAACACAACAACAAGAAAAATCTAGAGCCTGGAAAATGGTTATTCAGATGGGCCACATAGTTCCTTCCTTCCTTCCTTCCTTCCTTCCTTCCTTCCTTCCTTCCTTCCTTCCTTCCTTCCTTCCTTCCTTCCTTCCTTCCTTCCTTCCTTCCTTCCTTCCTTCCTTCCTCCCTTCCTTCCTTCCTTCCTTCCTTCCTT